TGAATTGTGTGTGTTGACTAAGCCAATTAGACATTTCTTCCCCTTGATTAGGAACTTCCTAGTCTCCACCCTTGTGACAATCCCATTCGAATGGATAATGTATGATCCTTAATCGAGATTCTTCTTAGGCTCCAGCCTAAGATGTAATTAACTACGAGGGCTTGCACCCATGGGAAATTGAATCCTACGTCAAATAAACTCTACTCGAGCTGATGTATCGGGTAGAGAAAATCTCGTGACTACGATTAGACCATATATATTATTATACATCGAGGTGCGTAGGCGAGAACTGCTATCCTCAATGGTTAATCGTATGTATGATCTAATCTTCCCTCCCATCGGATCCCTTCGCTATTTTCTTCTCCCTCCGTCGAAAGGGGGAGGGGAGGCGGCAAAGTCCGATCCTTTCGGAGGTCCACAAAAGGCACTACACATTTTGGGCTACCAATCTCAACTACAAACACACATCTCACTGCATTTGTTGACTCCGATTGGGCTGGAGACAAAATTGATAAAAAATCTACAACCAGCTTTTGTATATTTCTCGGTCCAAATCTGATTAGTTGGTCCTCTAAAAAGCATTCTACTGTTGCCCGATCATCCACCGAATCAGAATATTGAGCTTTAATTATAGCTGCAAGTGAAATTATTTGGCTACACCATTTACTTAATGATTTCAACATACAGTCATATCCCCCACACCATTATATTGTGATGAAACCTTAGCTATATCTTTAGCAAACAACCCAATCTTTTATGCCCACATAAAGTATAGAAGTTGATCACAATTTCAATCAAGAATGTGCTAAAAACGGCATTATTTTGGTTCATCATATCGCTATAACTGACCAAATTGCTGATATATTTACAAAAGGACTATCAAACTCCACATTTCATACACTCGAAGCCAAATTAACTCTCACAACAAGGATAGTTAATTTGCGCAGGGGGGGGGGTTGGGGCTGATAGAAATAATGCTAATGACAACATTAAGCATAATCAAATATCCACATCAAAGCACTCTCCACCATCTCTGTAATTCCAGAGATCTGAGAAGGCAGTGGACACAACTACCACCTCACCCATCAGATGCCAGCAAAATATTTCTTTTTTTATGTACATAAATGAGTATCATATATAACAAAAGGATGAACAGTAAACTAAAAAGGAAAAGAAGTTTTCTCTAAGCTGTCTCTTATTCTTGTTTTCTGCCTTTGTTTCTTATCCTCTGATCTTTCAGCATTGATCTTTCAACAGATATCCAATATTTCTTCTCAATCTTCCAGCACATAACAAAATTATCTACATATTTTGATATAATTTTTATCATGATGGTCAAATAAAATATTCGAACTTATAAAATAAATATTTAAATTAGAAGTTTTTTAGGGGCTATTTTGTTTGAAAGAAAATGTGTGCAAAGTATTCCAAATGCAATTGTATTGAGAATATTAGTATTTGGTGGGAAGTAAAATAAAATAAGTGTAAAATTTTGATGTTTTTCGAATGCACCGCCTAGTGCAACTTTTTCATATATAGAATTCAAACGATTTGAAATATTTTTAAATACACCATTAATTTATTGTCATTGTTGTCGTCACCTGCCTCCAGCTGCTCCGCCCCCAACAACCGTAATCCATCGCCGACCACATCCACCACCGACCACCACCAGCTGATATTCTTCCATAAGATTTTCTCCTATCAAAAATTCCAATCAGATCCTAATTGAAAACCAAAATCTAGTTATGTAACAAATAGCAGGGTACATAATCGAGCCACAACTTAAACAACATAAGGAATGAGAGACCACGTTCTTTGAAGAATTTTTCTCTTGCATCTAAGTTGGTTTTTGATACCATACAAAGTTGTATAAGAGCTAAACACAATGATGAACTTATAATAAATCAGGATATCATCAATAGAGACAATGATGAATAGTTTCAAATATTTCCCAAACACCCTCCTCATCAAATTCATAAATATCGCAGGCGTATTGTGTGATGCCCTAGCATATAATTGTGAAGGATTAGCTTACCTAAACATGAATTAGGCAATTTTAATTAAATTTCTTATAGTGCAAAAGGATTCGTATAATACAATTAGCTTAGTCTTTAAATTCAAATTTGCCAAATTTAAGTAGCTAGAATTTGATGATCATGTTTCTTAAGATAGTTGATCATCCTATACGATGTGGTGATCGTAGAGTACAATTAGTTATAAATTAATTTCAATTTCATTAAATATTTGAACTAATTTCTATTTGAATTGATTGTACAATTTGATATTGATCGTACAATATGATTACAAGAAAAAAAAAATCAAATATTCAATTTTACTCCTTGTGTGTATATGCACGGTTGTTAAACCAGCATACACCTAATACATAAATTGACTTTAAAAAAAAAATTAATTTATGCCTTGATTCTATACTATCTTGAATCAATTCTTCAATTATTTTCTTGGTGTGTATATATCTAAAATGGTTAATAGCATACAAAATTAATATCAAATATACAATATAGGAATAAACAAATAAACATTCAATAATGTTTGTAATCATTCAAATGCAAAAATTTAGTGGATTATCTTGAATCAAATCGGGTTAGATTTGGTGAAATAATACACTGATTCGTAAGTGTTACAACAAAGATGTAAGTTGTATCTATCACCAAATTTGGGGCATCTTTTGCCTCTTCTTAGGTTTGCGGGTTTGGGTAGAGGTTGTACTAATAACTGTGCTAGTATCCCTCTGAGCTCCATTGGATCTCCGGGACAGTCTCCCCATAAAATGACCATTACTCGTTGATGACCCTTCACTACCTACTATCGAAGAACCTGCTCTATAATGTCTTTGCTCCCCTCTAACCTAGGGCGTACCCTCTGAGTTCTTTATTGATACTGAGCTACCTTGTGACCCATCTAACCACAATGAAAATCGAATACAAATAACATTTGTAGTGATATCTTCTTCCACATGATCCATATAATGGGGCACTAGTCATAAATATAGCGTAACTACTCCCATGCATACTTGATCCTCCTCTCATAGAATCATCTACTCATAACTTGCTCTTATTCCCACTAACATTGATCTTAGCTAGTTTTCCTCCGAGTCTCTTCCGATTAGCCAACAAATCATTCTTTATTAATCGAGCCCTCTCCACCAGCTCAGAGAAGTCATATATGTGAAATGAAACTAAAGGATGCCTCAAACTAAATTGAAACCCCCTCGTGAATCGGTAACACTTCTTCTCCGGAGTATTAACTAGCTGCATAGCATGTGTAGCAAGGGCTGTATCATACCCTCATACTGCATAACTAGCATGCTCTCCTATAATACTTTTAAGAAAGACTACGTCATCTATTGTCTAGCAAATGGTGACAAAAACCAAATCTTAAAGTCACGGAGAAATCTTAGCAAGAAATATATGCATTCACCCTTCCTTGAAATAGCACATGATTTGAGTTTCCCATTAAAGTTGATGAATGACATATTGTATGGATAAGTCAAAGACTTGGATGTTCTAGCAAATGTGAAACATGCTTTCTCAATAGCGAGGGAATCAACTACAAGAGGCATTCTTATTTTACTAGCGCTTTAGGAGATTCCAAAAGGATTCCAACATCATAGAGGCAAATATTTATTTTTTTTATCTAAATTCTTTTTTTACACACTTAAATTTGAGTTCCACTTTTGAAGAATAAGTAGCTTCCAAAAAAGAATCATGGTCATTCTATCCATGTAAGGTCATAATCTTACTGAGCAAACAAGTCAATTGGATTGGTGATCTACTTGAAACTTGTTGAGCTTGTGCTAATCTGATTAAGTTCAATCTCATTCAAGTTTATTTGAGTCAATTCAGCCTAATTCATGTTGGTTCAATCGAGTTCAAGCCAATTAATTATGGATCATTCAAGTTCAAAAGTATGACTTGACCTTGTGAAGATGTATCACTTACACTTATGGTTGTGTGTAGGGGTGTCAAAATTTGACACGACACAAAATTCCGACTTGAACCCGACCAAAAAATTTTGGATTAGACTTGACTCGATTTCAAAACTGGTCAAGTTTGGGTTCACGAATTCGACCCAATTAAAAAATGGGTCGGGTCCGGGTTGACCCGACGAGTTGCTTGGTCAACATGGAAACCGGTTTGAAATGAGCTGCTCGCCCTGCTCGTGGCTGCCCGCACCTGCCCCCGCTGCTGGCGCACCTGCCCGTGGCTACCCGTGCCCTGCTCCTAGCTGCCCGAGCCTTGCCCGCTGCTACCCGTGGGCCCGTCGAGGTTGCTTGCGAGCCCGAGCACCTGCCCAGCGCCCTCGCGCCTGCCGCATGCAGCCTGTCGTTCCGTTATCTCGCCTCTGCCATAACCTCAACGAGTGTCGGGTCGGGTCAACCCAACAACCAGCTTGGTCGGGGTCCGAGTTTGCATTTTCGACCTGTTTACATACACGGGTCGGGTTAGGGTCGACTCGTTTGAACCCTGGTCAGTTCAGGGTTCGACCCGAACCTGACACGAAACCCGATTTTGACACCCCTAGCTGTGTGATGATATATGACTTTCAACTGTAGTGATTTTATAGCTTTAGGTGTTACTTTGACTAAATTAGCAAGTGCTTATGAATCCAACCAAGCTCAATTCTACTCATTTAATATGAAAGAGAGAAAAATAGTTATAATCTAATCAATTATTATAATAAAATTTAAAAAAATGAGAAATTAGAATATAAATAATAAATAATCACTTAATAGATAGAGATGAGATATGATTTTTAAATATTTTTTGAAACTTTGTACTTAAACTTTTAAAATACTAATATATTTTAATATATTTTAAGCCACTAGACTTGTGAGCTAATGAGTAAAGCCTAACCTAACTCATGCTGTATTGGCCTGGCTCACAAGGGCACCCGAATCTAGCGTAACCGGGGGCAATTGCGACCATTTGCAACCAATCTTCGCATCGAAACCCTAACTTAATTTCCCTTGGTGGCGGCCGCCTTATTAGTTCATGTGTTTTGCAAGATCGTGTGCGGGACTTTCAGAGGGGCTAAGATGCAGATCTTCGTGAAAACCCTCACCGGAAAGACCATTACACTCGAGGTCGAGAGCAGCGACACGATCGACAATGTGAAGGCGAAGATCCAGGATAAAGAGGGTAATCCATTTCTCCATGAAGTCTCTTTTTTTTTTCTTGATCAATTTTTAGAAACTGCTGCTAACTCTATAATGATTTTTTAGTACTATCGTTTCCTCTTCGTTCTTACTTTGAATGGTTGTTGCGGAGGCTGACAAGTATGATATTTTGCAGGTATTCCGCCGGATCAGCAGCGCCTGATCTTTGCTGGGAAGCAGCTTGAAGATGGACGAACCCTTGCTGATTACAACATACAGAAAGGTGTGATATGTTTTCTTAAATATGTCGTATTTTAATCTATTATTTTCATTTCGAAATCTTATTTACTGTATGCTGTTTAACAGAGTCGACTCTGCATTTGGTGCTGAGGCTTAGGGGTGGTATCATCGAGCCCTCTCTGATGGCTCTTGCTAGGAAGTATAATCAGGATAAGATGATCTGCCGCAAGTATAGCTCATGTCTATTCAACTCTTTTTTTGGCCTTTAAAGTTTTTTTTTTTTTTTTTTTTTAAGTTTTTTATCATGGAATGGCATAACTTCTCTTTAAGTACTTGGGGCCTTCTTCAAAATTCGGTTGTATTTCTTGAGCTGATAATTTTGCTTAAGGTGCTTCCCTTGATTGTATTATCCTGTTTAATTGCATCTGAATTATGGCATTTGGTGTTTTTAATTTAATTATTAAAAAGTTGCAATTGGTGTTTTTAATACACAACTCCCCTTGGCCTATTGGTTGAGAGCTTAGGCTTCCAACTAAGAGGTCCAAGGTTCGAGTCCATGTGTATGCGTTGTGTGTGTGAGTTTGTCTTAAATGACCTAAATGTCCCAAAAAAAAAAGAAATATTTAATGATAAACATGAACAAAACAAACTAGTATTTAAATTTTGGTTTTCTTAATTTAACTTTTCGTTCTATTTTGGTTGCCTTTCTAAATCATGGAATGATAAAGGTCTGTTTGGTTTGCTTTTCTTTGAAATGCTAAGTTATTTAAATGCCAGTACAATCTAGATATTATAGGTATTATAGTCTTTAAATATTACAATGCCATTGTTGGATTGTGATTCTAACATTTACTTATTTTTTAGCCTAATGTATTTAAGAGATAAAGATAAGTTGAGTTTTGCATAGCAGTTTACTTCTGTTAAACTAACATCTCCATGGCTGGAACCTTAAGATGTTTGCAAATCAAACTGCTGCCAATGGTTAATTATATGATGCTTTATTTTCTTTGCCGTTGTGTTTTATGTTATGGTGTCTTCCTAATTTTATATTGGTCTAAACTCATATTTCAATGGATTTTGAGGAGATTGGCCTTTTCCTCACTGGCATTGTTTACATGACCGTCAGTTTTTTAAGCACTGAATGAAAAGGGGAAAAATTTATAAATTATTCTGTTCCATAAAGGTTCCAACTTTCCTCATCAAAAATTTAAAGTTAGCAGTTTGATTTAATGTAACATACTGAGGTCACATGTTACATTTACTGCAGTATCCTGTGAAAAGTTTAAAGAATCAATAAGTTGGTATGATAGGAAATTTCATACAAATTCAACTTTTGAGGCATATCCATGCTATTAGGCCATTCATGCTTGCTAAACAAGCTGAGTTGTTAGAGACTATTTTGTATAAATTTTGGAATATTGTGATATATGATAATTAGATGGAGGTGGCTTTTAGTGTATTTTAAAACGACAGTGCATCTTGGCAGGGATGATGAATCAATTAGATGCACGATGGAAGCAATTCCACATGAGCACAACTATTGAGGCATATTATGCTGACTTGCCTTGTTTCTCCCTTCCAAGCTGAATGAACCAAGTTTTCAATGAATGGATTCAATATTCATTAGCTAATTATTGTATGTTATTATATTATTTGGTGTGCTTTGTTGTAGATCGTGGTGCTTTTTTTATCCTTCCAGTAAGCATTTTAGAATGCTAGTGCCTGCTTTGTAAAATGGAAGGTATGGTGAAAATTTATTAGTTGAATGTTGTGCTTATGTATTTTAAAATTATAATGCATTTTGCAGGGATGATGAATCAATTAGATGTGTGATGGAAAAAAAAAATTCCACATGAACGCAACTATTGAGGCATATTTATGCTGACCTGTCATATTTATTCCTTTCCAATCTGAATGTACTAATCTTCAATGATTGGATTCAGTTTGAATTAATTAATGAGTCTATATTACAATATCCTTTGGTGTATTGTGTTTTAGATCGTGGTGCTTTTTTTTTTTTACTTCCAATAATTATCATATAATGCTAATGCTTGCTTTTTTAGGGGACAGGTATGGTGCAAATTTTGTTAATTTGATGTTGTGCTTGTGTATTTATTTTTATCTTTACATCATTATTAACGATTTGTATGCATAAATTTGCAATGTCCATTCTTCTTCCATTAATAGTCTGTATTGGGTAATACTATCCATGTTACTGTTAATCTTATATCCGTTAGCTTTTGAACATCAACATGTGTTTCTTGTAGGTGCTACGCAAGGCTGCATCCAAGGGCTGTTAATTGCAGGAAGAAAAAGTGCGGACACAGCAACCAGGTAGCCCTTGCAACGTGTAAATAAATTTTAACTATTGTGGTGTGGTGTCCTATAAACTATATGATGCGGGAGAAAATACCCTTGAAATATCTACCTACTTTAGGTAAAACAAGTGAGCTAATAGCCTTACACATTTTCAAGAGAAATAACCCATACAACCAAGCAGGAAGTTGCATAATCATCATACAGATATAAAAGCTTGATTTCTGTTGACAATCTTAGGAATAGAGGGGAAAATCATGATGCTTTAGGCTGCACAAGACCTTCCCCTATATTGAGTAGTTTTTAAGGTTTTCTTCTCTAAAGGAGTTTTGGAAGATTTCACACATCAACCATACATAACGGTTTGCACAAAATTTTCTCCAGATGAGATGTAAAGGCTTACATTTATATTAACTATCATTAAAGGTTGGCTAACCGAAAAATATAGCATCAATATATGGTGGATTCCCAAAAGATTGTGTTTGAAGAAAAGAAAACCAGCCTAAATAGGGCTATGGTGATTGACCAAATGTTCTCTACTAAACCAAGAATATCATTTTTGGTAGTTCATATTGGGATGAGCGGCATGTAAATGCAAGAAAAAATGGATAACGAATGAACTTCCAAGGTTTACTCCAAAAATTCTTCTCCTTTATATGATGCTTTAGGCTGCACAAGACCTTCCCCTATATTGAGTAGTTTTTAAGGTTTTCTTCTCTAAAGGAGTTTTGGAAGATTTCACACATCAACCATACGTAACGGTTTGCACAAAATTTTCTCCAGATGAGTTGTAAAGGCTTACATTTATATTAACTATCATTAAAGGTTGGCTAACCGAAAAATATAGCATCAATATATGGTGGATTTCCAAAAGATTGTGTTTGAAGAAAAGAAAACCAGCCTAAATAGGGCTATGGTGATTGACCAAATGTTCTCGACTAAACCAAGAATATCACATTGTGTATAATGCCTGTATACAGTATGTAAAAATTTAAACATGGTATATATAAACTTGAACATAGTGTGTACAAATGTGTATATAATGTGTACAATTCTTATACATAGTGTGTATAATACTTGTAGACAGTATATATAAATGTATAATACTTGCACATAGTGTGTATAATACTTGTCACAATCCCAATTTGTTATAGGGATTGGGACTTTAGGGGATCAAATCATTACATTTTTTATAATGATTAGGGGATCAAATCAATACTCTTCCTATAATCAATTTTCATAACAATTTTTCTTATTTTTTATCTAACCTTTTCATAGTACATTGATCTAAAATGGTCCTTTTGTATCATGATCAACCTTGAAGAATTCAAATTTGTACATTTACCTTCAAGCTTGCATGAGGCCATATAAGCTTTTCCTCAACTTTCATACAATTGTTAATTCAACTTTTATTTTGAATCTGTTTGGTTGTTTCAGATAGATTTTTTATTTCAAACTGCTATGCTGGAAGTTTTTTTTTTGCATCAATTTAACCAATATTTGAATTCAAATTTTCTGCTAAAGGAAGAACCACTTAAATTGAAGACATCATCACCATAGATGTGAAAATGTCATCAAAGTCCATTATTTGTTTCTGGCTAAATCCCTTTACAACCAACCTTGTTTTATATCTTTGTTGTGAGCTACTCTAACGATTTTACGACTTGAATGACCGCTTTTTTTTCAATATTTTCATTCCCTTGGCAACTTCTCCGAGTCAAATGTATGGTTCTCATGTACAAATTCATTATTTCTTATATTGCCCTTTATCACTTCTCGTGTTCAAGTTACATTTCCACTTGGTAAGTTTGTTGGTCATTTCCATCCATTAGCATCATATATTCATTTGTAAGAGTAGTTAGCGGAAGGTTATCTTTACCTAATGACTCCTCTCAATTAAGGCACTTGGTGGTTTGAGAGGATTTTTCTTTACATGTTCTTTAGGTGTAGGTTTATGTTCAACCTCATTTTCAAGGACATCAACATGCTCTTCTTGAATTTCTCCCCCATTTTAGTCATGCCATTTTGGTGGAGTTGATTTTAGGTCAATAAGAATTTTATCCATAGACTTGGGCTTTTCATTCTAAAAAACTTCAATATTTTTATGTTCAAAGATCATATTTGTAGTTTTAATTCCCTTGTCAACTCATAGTGATCATTGCCCAAGAAATGCATTGTTTTATATCTCAGTTAAGCTTTGTGCTCTCATCTCTAGGAATCTAAACAAAATGCCTTGCGCTCTAACACCTTGAAGTAGTTATATGATGCATATTTCTCCCTCCTAACTCTTTCCGGCATAACCCCATCTCAAGTAATTAAAGGTGAATGCTAATCAAGTCAATTAAAGTCTTCATTGCGTCCCTCCAAAAGGGTTTAGGAAATTTTTGAGTGCTGAGCTGTCATGGTTACTATCCTTTCTGCCATGTTCAATGCAGCGCTTTTTTAATGAACCCTATATTCACCACCGTTAGTTGAATAAACACACTTTAACTGCCTTATAGTTTCTAGTTCTTCTCTAGCACGGAAATTTTTGAAGATATAAAGCACATTTTCATTGGATTTGATTGCATTGGTTGTAAGCCTTCCTTGAACTTAATGAATGTAGCAAAATACAAAGCACCAAGTGTTCTTATATCCATGGTGCACAAATCAACATTATGAGGCCCAATCTATCAAAATAAATCATATATTGTTTATCAATTAAACAATGACATTTAACATTTGTAGGATTTGCTTCTTGATAAGAGTCTTAGGCTTGTATTGCTTTCTAAAATGACTTTCTACTACAAAAAATTTTAATTCAATAAATTTTGTACTAAAAAGCTGCTTTATAAAGCAGTAAAAAAGCTGTCTCAAATAAAGCCTTAAGCTCTTTTTGGCTCATGAGGCCAAACCTCTAATAATGCTATTGCTCTAAAGAAGTGTCCTCATTTACATTCACCTTCTCATGGCATATCTTCCCTTCTATCTCCTAGTGTTTTTTTGTCGAGCTTCCATTTTCCTTCACCGAAGTAGTTAAAGCATCCTTCATTACCAAGGCAACTGGCGGAAATCGAGTTGAGGTAGATGTTTGGGACATTTTAACATATTTCAACACCTAATATTTGTTTCCAGGGATGCTCCTTCCATTATAATAATCGTACACTCACGTATTCACATTTCCATATAGTTAAAACACTGCTTATAGGAAACAAAGTCATGCCTTGATGTTCCTTCACATGGAAATAAGCGATCAAATCTGCAATAATTGTGGTGTGTTAACATGTAAGATTGTTATATCCGGAATTGATAATGAAAACTAAATCACCTTTGTTTTCGATTGTCTCCATTTCCTTTTCTTTACCTTACTCTCTTTTGATATTTCTGCATTCTTTTCATGCCTCCAAGTTTGCTACATTAATAACATTTGATGCCACATCTAGGCTTTTAGATCGTTCCTTCGAATTTTCATTTTCATCACCGTGTGTAGGTTTTTATTGTGTTCCTTCCCATTTTTTTCATGCGAAGTTCCTCTGAATAATGAATATGGACTAGTTCCTTGTTTTTTCTTATCTCGCCATTCAACATACTATCCATCTGTCACCATGCTCAAAGTTAGCACATCATTAACATCGCCAAGTTCTACCAATTATCTGATAGAGAGCTCAGAGATAAGAGGCCAGAACTTCATCATTAAAGTCAGTCTTTATGATTGCATTAATCGTTCAAAATCCTTTAGAAGTTAATGCAAGTTAATGCATATGGTCGAACACTACTTGTTGATCCTTGAAAGAAGTTCATTAAGCTTTCTTATGTTGAATCTTTTTTTTTTGAGCGTAGTAGTCCTTATAGATTTTTAGCCACATCCTGTTTGCATTGTTGTCTTGAGTTATGTGATGTATGGTGTTTGATCAATCCATAGGCTAACTTTCCCTAGCCCCTTATTTTTCATTGGTTCTCATTTATCTTTTTGATCATTATTTAAGATTGCGCAATATAAGGTTCGCCTCAGCGCATTTTTATATGAGACTTGCACCTCAGTTTGGTTGAGGCCCGTCTTAAGGCGTGCTTCGCCCCACTAGGGTGAGACTTACGTCTTATATATATATATATATATATATATATATATATATATATATATATATATATAAACTTACATAAATGCTAAAGTAAAGCCCCAAACAAATTATGCCTTTATGCACCTCTGAGTTGTATAAACTTCCTCTCTATTGCCTCAACCTCCAGCCCGCTGCCTTCACCACAGCCACCACCATCATATCTGCCATCAATGATCACTTAAAAGCCGCACACCATCACTACCTTCGCCTCTACTAAAATTTTTGGAGTATTAATTCATCTATATGTTGATGAAAAATATTTATAAAAAAGAAGATGATTGAAATAAATAAAGAAGAAGCATTTTAGGAGGCATTGAACTTTATAGGATGAGACATGAGAGAGACCAATTGGTTATGATGATGACTCTAAAATGACAGTACAAATGATTTGAGTTGTTGCCAATTGTTTCAAATTTTTTTGGAAATTAAATATGAATGAGTAGGGATTTGAGAAAGAAATAACTTGCAGTTAAACTTAATGTTATATGATACTTTTATGTAATTCCTATATTAATATTTTTGTGCTCATATAATATTGGTATTTTAATTATATTTCACTCAATTTATCACTTATCACTTTATGTTTTGTGCAAATTTTTATTTTATATGTATGTTAATTTGTTACTTCATAGTTGTAGAAAGTTAATATATCACCCATTAACATATTATTTGGACATTATACAAAAAATCACTTTTAACTTTTATTTATATTTTACGTCTCAAATTAGCTTGAGGCTTACGCCTCGCCTCCCAAACTAAAGGAAGCTCAATATCCAATTGTGCAATTTTAAACCTTGTTTTTGATCATTTTTTTGGCTTTACTCCTTTATGTTTGAGGAGATTTTAACCCCTTGCAATGCAAAATATCTTCCACTCTTGTCTTTCACATTGAATTGTTGGATGGTATGAGCTTCAACATTGTGTTGGGACCCTCCGTTATATTTACATGAAAACCTAGCTAGCCTTTCTCTGATACCCGACCTTGTGGCGTCAGTGACCTACTTGCAATATGATGCAAAAAAAAAAAACCCTAAAGATTCACTCCTCTTCGTATATAACCCAAAAAAGAACAAATATAAATTGGCACAATCAATGAACAAATAATGACGCCGGATTTATGTGAATTCTCAAATTAGATGGAAAAAATCATGTGATTTTAGCTCGCCTATGGCCTAGCATTATATTTAAGAAGTTCACAACTTTCCTGTTCTAGAGGGTTAGACACATTAATCATGCATAATGGTTGGCCCACTCTTGAGATGACATCTTGAAACTCACACTTATATCAACCCTTAACTAAGTTTAGCTCACAATAAAGAAAACTTCCCCATTTCTTGTTATGCTGTACCTTGTCTTTTGTTGATCCAGCTTTTAGAATTCGTTTATAATAGATTGAATCTCAAAATAGTTCCCCACTATTCATATGCAGCTAGTTTAATTCTTGAGTATCACATTTTTTTCAATTTTGTCCATTAACTATGGAAAATTGACCCAAAATGATTCCTTTGTAGAAATTGGGATATCATATCAATCCCAACGAAAGTATCATTTTGGATCAATTTTTTATAATAATGATTAGATGAGAATTTGACTCTTGACATGACACAATGGAGAAAAAAGGATTCATGTAGCCGACCCCATAGTGTGGGATAAAGGCTTGTTGTTGTTGTTTATATAGTAAGTGACTAAATTGTAGAAATATTATACTTTTGGATTGAATGGATCATATATAAACAGTTGAGGACCATTTTGAGATTAAACTCCATTTTTAATTATATCCCTAATTGGGAAGCCGTTTGATTCAATGCTCTTAGATGTTAGTTAGCCTTCAGAATTTGTGCTTTACAAATACATTGTTCGGTTTGTGGAGCATTTTAATTTCAATTAAATATTATGATAAAATATGATGGATACTTATTTCCAATTGCATTTTTTACTATATTTGCAAACTAGATAGTTGATTTCTGTTAATAAAATATTGTTACAAAGAACCAAAGAGCCATTGGAATTTGTTCACCAACTTCTCTTTATTATCTCTCTTTCTTTCTCAGGCACTTAACAAATTTGTTTTACATGTAATTTTCTTTTTAATATCTTATATTGTTTTAATTGTCACCTTTGCAGCTGAGGCCCAAGAAGAAGATCAAGTAAACAATGTTGCAGCCTAAGTATGTGCTAGCATATCTACTGTGTTAGGACTTGGTACCTTTTGCAAGTTTCATCTGGATATTAATTATGTGTTTGACTATGAATTTTTTTATCTTCAGACAAATTCTCTTTTGGGTACTGGATTTGTTGCCATCCTATTGAATATTTTAGCTTTTTTTTCTATTTCAGTTTGATATGAATTTAGCAGTGCTTTGGTGCCTTGCAATACTATTCTAATTGAAAGTAAAGAGTGATTTGGTTTCTGAGAGTTCTCAGGTAGACATTAGGACTATAAAATCTGTGGATCGAGGTGCTAAGCAGAAGAGCTGTTGGGGAAGAAAAACATTCAAAGTTCCAGTAGAAAAAGTACCTTGGAATTATATACATGTATAATCGGTTTTTGGTAGGAGAATATCATTCTCATCTAATTAAGTTTTTGTTTGGAACAGTTTTCTTACTGTTTTTAAAAGCAGTTTTTCCGTAAAAAAATATTTTTGAATTTGAAATTTTGATGCTAGAAAAACTGCTTTAGAAAGCAATAAGAAAGCTGTCTCAAACAAACCTTAAATTTCAACCTTATTAAGGAAAAAGCTGAGTATTCGGACAAAATTTTTATAGGGATGTATTTCTGAGCTCTTAAAAATGCTAAAGGATGATTATAACTCTAGGTAATTAATATTACATTCATTTTAAAATAGATTTAAGGACTTTGAAATCTAACCCAATCAGTTTTAGCCTGAAATAATTTTCTTTTTCTGTGAGCCCATCTTTTATTTACTTTTTTTTTTTCTCTTTTGACAAAGTGTATACCTTTGTTTTGTTTTGTTTCTGTTTTCTTTGATTGTTATTGGAGAAATTATTAGATGCGGTCACTTGATGTCATTTAGAGGCGAATCAAGATGTATCACGTCACTTTTTGGTTGTGTACTGGTGTTGTATTTCGGATGATATGATACATTCTGATTCGCCTTCAAACAGTCCGATGACCTCATCGAATAATTTCTCATGTTATTGACCCCTATTTTTCTGGTGATGGATTTTGGTTTCTTTCGTTTGTTTTATAGTTAAGCTATGTTCTCATCTCTCTCTCTAACCATTACCAAAAAGGTCGGGGTCTTTAATTGCAGTATTAATAGGTTTAATTGCTTTAGCTTTGGTTGGTAATTTGTGATTAAGCGGGTGAATTTGAAGTCTAAGAAAAATATGAGCTTGTTCATCTCTAAGATTGGAAGAGTTAGAGGGAATATTTTGAGAGCTGTTCTAAGTAAGCTTGTTATTCAACCACTTGGTATTAACCATTGCTCCATTAAGTGTCAGTAAGTAGGGTTATTCTCTTGGTTGTTAAACCAAGTGAAGAAAGATTGTGGTTTGACATGTTAAATAGCTACAAAGATTAAAATTTGCAAATTTAAAATGGAAAAGTTACAGTCAGATATTCTTTTAGGTTTCATTTGAGATAATTTTTTCATTGTTTTTTAAAGTGACTTTTTAATATAAAATTTTTAATTTGTATTAAAAAGTTATTTTAAGAAGCAGTAAGAAAGCCATATCAAATGGAATCAATTCCCCTAATATGGTTGAAGTCTCTTATGAGAAACTATATAGTGTTAACAAGTATGGAAGTCGAGTCAATAACTTGGTAGAAACTTTTCTATCGAAGGTAGAGGTTTCATTTGGAAAGGTTTTCTTTTTTATTTTTAAAACAACTTTCTAGTAAGAAATCTGTTTTAAAAAATAGTAAAAAGGTTGTCCAAATGAAGCTAGAGTTGCATGTAAACACCATCATGATAAAGAAGTGCACATTTGACAAAATTTTAATAGTCCCATTAATGAATTAGAGTTGTATTTACCTCATATTAAGATCCAAGGTGCCTTGTAAGGAAGAGGAAGGACACTACCTAGTTGGTTAAGGGAGTTTCTTCTTATGGAGAAGAAAAGTAAAGAAAAGATCAACAATAAAATAAGTTAATTGAGATGGGATGAGGATTAGAGATTTTAGATGTGTTAAAGGATAGAGTACGGTAGAGTGAGGGAATTTTTCGTTCAAGCAATATATTATAGTGATGATATTATATTTATAGTGTTGTTGATATATATGTTAAAGCACTTGCAGATTCTAAACGGACATATTACAAGGATTTATATACATTAAACTAGATAAAGCAAAACCTCTTTTTTTTTTTACATGCTTGTCAAGTTAATCTAAAAATTTATGAATAAATAATAGAATTGACAATGCATTGGTCTTGTATAACAATATTGAATAACAAGTGGCCATGCTTCTTGTGCCTTTGAACCATTAAATCAAATTGCTATGAATAGCCCTCTGCTAGTGATCAAGTTGAAGTCAATACCAAAAATACGCCTTTAACACACCCCCACTAATTTTTATAAAAACCTGGCCACTCTAATTTTTAGGTAAATTCTTTTGCTCCTTTTCACTTAAAATTATAATTTTGCGTGACCGTTTATAATCAACTCTCTTACTTTGGCCATCTCTTCTTGCTTCCCCAACTTTACATATATGTTTGAGAGAGCAAGACAATAGGACCCTCATCCTTTTTGTTATTCATTATTCACATCAATTCAAGAGTCTCATTACTATATGAAAAAAAAAAAAAAAATAGAAATAATATGATTTGGCTTACTCTTGCTCTGAAGCATGAGGAAATAGTTGAAAGATTAGAACTATTTTGCCCATGAACATCATACTCTGAGATTATTTAACTCCAAGAAATTAGCTTCTTTCTCTACATTTGATCAAATATCTCCCTCCTTGTGTTAGATGGATTTAAATTCTATCAAGTTTAGAGGATTTACATATGTAATTTAACACAAACTTTTATATTTAAATATATACTATTTTATTACCTTAATCAATTAAAACATATGAATGAAAAGGCGCTTTAACTATTAAAAATTTTAATATTAATAATGCTTTTACTGTGATTTAAAGATTTGGGTGTTGTTTAAATAAATATAAAAAATTAGTATTATATATGTAAATATATAAGAATTCTATGATATTTATGCCGGTCGCCCAAGTTTTAATTGATTACTTAGGAATCGTATTATTTCCAAAATAAATCCAATAATTTTGAGAATGACACCAATTTTCAAACTTTTTATCATTATATCTTAATCAATTTTTATCATTATATCTTTATATGAAAAAAATCACACATTAATCACAGTGGTGTAGAAAATTATTGACCCCCATAAGCTCAAGTGACAAACGTGTAACACATTATTCACTTGATGATTACAAATTAAATAAGTATGATATGTTATCTACTGTGATTTGCTAAGTGTTTCTATATGTTACAGGTTATTCATACTATAAAAATTATTTTAAAATTATTTAAATTGATAAATTTTCTTAAATGTAAAAAATATTTTCTAAATTATTTATATGATAAAAATTGATAATATTCTTAGACATCATAATTATGCTATTTATTTTAAACTGGGAAAAAGATTCAGAAAATTTATCATCAAAACGAAATCTCTTTTGGTTATATAACGTGTTTCTTACTTAAATCTTTTATAAATTCTATTATATTTGAATATTCTTATTGTTTTCATCTAGTAATCAAGTTTTTTATGGGATTGTATAAGCCTCACGTGTAGGGCAAATTATTACGTCCAGTCACCGGATGTCCGGACATCCAATCCAGACGCGCCACGTCGACATGATGCAATTTGATTGGTGTCCGAACGAATCCGGACACCGAACGTAATAATTTGCCCACATGTAGGTGATAGCCGTTGAGTCACCTCTAAGGCTCATGGGAGTCATGGTTTGATTTTTAAATATATTTTTTATTACCTAATGGGTTGTGCTATGAGGTATAAGCTCCTCACCTTGAAGTAAGATTGTTGTAACCTAATGGTTAGAGCTAGAAGTGGTAGGTTCTTCACATTGAAGAAGAGATGTTGTAACCTAGTGGAGAAGATTATGAGCATCTTATTTCTTGCTTTGAAAGAGGAGTGTTGAGGGTGTGTCTTCATTTCCCCTTAAGGAGAAAGTTAGTATAAAAGATTTCTCCACCTACTTATCGAGTGAAGAATTATTTTGTCAGTAATTCTTAGTAGGGATCTTAGTGTAACAACCTAAACTCTTAACTATCGAGATATTGTTCATTTTGATCTAATGGTCTCACAGTTTTATCATATTGATGTAATTTTTCAGGAGATCACCCATTTCAAGATTTCTTCGGAATAAGCATGCTTAACTGCAGAATTCCTTAGTAAAATTCTAACAACTACTTCAAAATGTGCCTTGATGTGTAAGAGTTTAGCTTCTTTTTACTTATGGGATTTCACACCTTGTGCCAAGCAGGCTAGTTGTGAATTTAAGTTAACCCCTTTTTCTCAACATCTATTTCTAAAACTTCATTTTAAATAAATTACAACCCAACCAAACAAAGCCTAAATCTTCAATAAACATATTTTGTAAAACAATCAAAATATCATAACTTTAATGACATGAATTGAATATGAAGGGACTGCACATAAAACGAACAAATAAGAATAACTCAAAATGCAAAGTTGAGTTATTAATAAAAATAACTACAAAGATATATCATTATCTGAAACAAAGCCTATCAGCCAACACATCACATCGTAGGCTTCATTTCATTTATGAAAAGATTAAGATTTCGTTTGGGAGGACTTTATTACTGCTTCATAAAGTAACTTTCTAGTACAAAAATTAAATTTTTTGTACTAGAAAGCTACTTTATGAAGCAGAAAGAAAATCGTCCCGTTTGGAACAACTTTTTTAAGTGTCTCATAAAGCAACTTTTTAGTACAAAAATTAATTTTTGTACTAAAAAATTGCTTTAAAAAGCACTAAAAAACCATTGGGATAGCTTTCATACCGCTCTATAAAATAGTTTTATAATATAAAACTATTTTGAAAAAGAAAGTTTTGTGCTAAAAAGCTACTTTAGAGACCTTTAAAAAAGCCACCTAAAACGAATCCTAATGCATCTCGCAAAGTTGTAATCAGTGACACTAAGAGATTGTTATACAAGCCATTGAAGCCTCCATTAGACAGAATAATCATTTATGCCAGAACTTCCAAGCAATTTGACAACAAATCATACTTAAGTCAATTAATCAAGACATCTGTCTTCTAATACACAAATTTTCCCCCATCTCTACATAAACAAGGGAGCTGAGTAAACTCCCAGCACTTAGAATTCAGCATAGAAAAACACCATTATATTATATAAAAAACAAACAAACATGAATTCCTTCCTAGTTCAGCTGGATGAGGGGAGAGCGAGGAATAAGTGAAGGCTTGGGCTCCTTACTGGATTCATATGGATTGTTCTCTCTGAACTCCTCAAGGAGGACATCCATTGGCATTGTTCGAAGTGATTCAATGGTCCCCTTAGTAGGCACATCTGGCTCAGATCTCAATGGAGTTTCACCACTTGGCTCATAAACCTGCATATTTTGTTTAACACATTATGAAGCAAATTCATTCAAATTTTAAGGCCGCTATCTAAATTTTTTATAATTTAAGGTACCATATAGTCATGCTGGAAAGTTGTTTTCGCGTGGCAGTTGATACTTGAAGCCAAGCCATTATGATCTTCGCTAAGCTCCTGTAGACATGAAGAGTGAGCTTCCACTGCTTCCATCACCCCAGATATTGATTCCCTCTCATATTCCAACAAAGCTGAAACATACAAAATTTGAGTTGTTAAAAAAGATCGACTCGACAATATTTAATTATAGTTATATATAGATAAAAATAATCATATATCTGAATGTGTGTATACTAATATGTTTTTATGTGTGCATATGCCTGTGCATATATATGTTTAAATTATGTATATTCATACATTTAAATTTGTAAGGAAATATGTACATATCTACATGGAAATATTATATTCTATAATTTATAAATGGCTTTCAAGTAGACTTTTTATTTGTGGATAGCTCATGTTTAACTCAGTAAATTAATGATTTGAACACAAATAGAAAATTTTGACTTGTTTTCTTAACCAGCTGGCTGAATAACAGTTAAGCTCACTCAAGCTCGGTTCATTCACACCTCCATTAATACAATAGTGTTGCCAAATTATAGCATCAAGTAATTCACAAATCATAATAAAAGCAGTTGGTATAAACAACATACTGTCAATGTGATTAATGATATCTGTGCTATTCCTCTTGGCATCTTCCTCTGCTAACATACGCAAGGTATCAATCTCTACATCATGTTGCTCATTGCTCTCCATTGCGTTCCTAAGTAGGAGCCAATGAGATTCAATAGTGTAAATTAATGAAATTACAAGGAAAAGCATGATAACTATATTACCTAACAAGAGCCTCCATGTCTTTGACATTCTTGGTGCTCATTTCACTTGCAGATGCATGGACCTTCTGCCACTGTTGAGATGCAGTATCGCTAGTGTTAACGCTGTGACAAGTTTGCAATACAAGTAAGAAAATATACGGTTATGGAAACGCCAATATGAGTAGAAGGTAAGCAGAAGAGGTAAATGAATCAGGAAGCTGACCATTGTTGAAGAATGGCTTCCAATCGACAGTGCTTTACACTAGAGAAGTCAGAGCCATCCTTGGAATCATGCTGCATCTGCATGTAAAATTCCTCCCATTTCCTCTTGGCATCGCCAGTTACACTTGCCGTAGAAGATGTGTGTTTGTCTAGGAATATTTTGTTCTCCATGGCGGTATCTCTCAACCCATTGAGCTTTGCATCAACCTGCAGGTTTTGTAGATCATTTAATTTACTGATTTCCTGATAAATTCTGTAAGTTTAACAATGTAGAATGAGCCTAAACCAGTTCTTTCTGTCGATTCATGTGAGCGGAAACCAACGTTGTCACTTGAGCTATAAGCTTCTCCGTCTCAGATCTTGTTTGCTCCTGCTTGAAGTATTCAAATGTTAGTATTATCTGAAATTAAAAAAAGGGGATTATAAATGAGAGAACGTACCTCATAGGCATTTTGAAATTCAGCAATGCTGTGGGTTTGAACTGCATGAACCCAAATTGAATGACACTGAAGCTTCTTAGATTTTTCTCTTAATTCGTCAATAAGTTCAAAAACAAAGCAGGAAATCTCCTTTGTATGATCCGAACTTGCATTGAATCTCTACAGATGAACAGTTTTATGTACATAATAACATACTCGCCTATGTATTTTCACTCTTTCGTTGAACTATGTAAAATTAAACATTTTAATTAATAAACTGGAATGAAAGACAAAATAAACTAGCAGACCTCACGAAGCTCCCGTGCAAATTGTGCAATTTCTCCTCTGAGATTAGATAATGTGCCTTGTAGATCAGTGAAAATCAAGTTTGCATCAGCTCCACCTAGAGCAAGTAGCTGTATAAAAGAATTAGTGCATAAAACAAGAGAAATACTTAATAGATGGAAAATGTTTACTCTTAAAGAGCTTGCTAACTCATGGTACTCACATGGTCAAGAGAACAACTATTTTCATAAGCACTATTTGACAGCTCCTCCAGACTTGCATTATTTGTTGCCTTGTTCAAACAAATTGTATTCTGTATTCCTTCTATGTGAGAAGCGTACATTACCCTTGATGCAGAAACCTTCTTTTTCAATTCACTTAGTGCCTAAATTCAACGTAGGTTACACAAATCAATATTTTATTATATCACACTAAAAAAATAAAAAACACAAACAAAAAAAAGAATGTTCTTTCGTTTACCTTATCATGAAAATCTAAACATGACTTGCTAAGATTCTCAATTGACTGTAGGTGTTTATTTTGTCGTTTAATGGATGAAACTAGAAGGTTGCAAATAGTGCTGATTCTCTCTGCCAGATTAGCTTGAAACTTGTCAACTAATGACCTATTTGTAGAATTTAGTTGGTCTTCTCTAGCTGTACAAGTTCATGGTTCAAAAAGACTTGATATTGCAACCATGCTATTAAAAAGAAAAATCTTTAGGCATTTAGAGTTATTTAACCTTTTAAGTGATACCTATTTTAGAAAATAATGAGGCATTGTCCTGGATAGATTTCTCTAAGTCAGACCTCAAAACGCAAGCTTGATGTGCCAAAGCATTCTCTATACAAGTCATCAAACAATTAGAAAAACTCAACTCCTCTTATTCTGGTGGAATGAGATCATTTAACAGATACAGACCTGCCTTCCGTTGTTCTGCAATAACAAAATCTTTCTCCTTCAATTGATAATTGGCATGTTGCAGATCTTCCTTTGTAGTGGCTAGTAGTTTGCTAGCGTGATCCAAGCTCCTCTGCATAAAAAAAATAAATAGATACAGATGCTTTATTTGATGCACTATTCTTCTTAAAAAGTAAAAAAAAATAAAAATCAAATTAAATTAAATTCACCTCCGTAGCTTCAAGCTTTTTACTAAGATTAGCAGATTGTTGTAGTTGACAATCGTACTTTCCTTGAAGGTCGTATATTTGCTGTTATATAACAAGAGGAATTACTTGAATGAAACCAAGTCAATAGAAATATTTAGAGAATTTTATAAATTGGGTTAAAATATAATTCAAAATAAAGAAAACTAACCTTTTGATTGCTTTCGAGCACCACGCCCATTTGTTCAATTTGCTCTGCCATTGCCTATATGGAATACAAAACATAAAATAGTAGAAAAGAAAAAGGTATCATTTTATAGCTCTATGAAAATAAATGCAACGAGAATTTTCCGTAAGGCATAATCGAAATTGAAATATATAAAACTGGATGTAGTAAGAAGATAACTAAAATGTAGGCATGAGAAAGTACACTGCACATCTCATGATGTCACGGCCATGTTAGTTATCAAGGAAATCATGAACAAAATTAAAGAAAAAAAAAAAGATATAATTGGCATCGGATAGCTAAAATTTAACAAAACAAAATATGCTAATACCTTTCTTTCAGCCTCCTCTTGGTAGTACCTCTCTTTTGGAATGTAAACTCCAACTTTTTCACGAGTAGCATAAACCTCTATAAAAATAATAAAGATCTTTCAGCAAGAACAGTAAATATGAATAAATAAATAAATAATAATAATAATAATAACTCACCTGCTTTAAGGCGATCTATTTCACCATATAGATCCTTTATTAATGTTGACTTCATCATTTTTTGATTTACCTGAATTTCCAAGAAAACAATGGACATGTTTCGCTTATTCAACGCAAGTGACATAACAAAAGTATTAATATCAACGAGTTCAAAGGAACCAGGATAGGAGATAGGAAATTACCTCAGGTCTATTCTTTATATTCTTAGCCCTATGAGCATAATCTAAAGTGCTAAGTGTCTCCTCAAGGCAGTGTACAGATGGTGAGACCGTGGCAATTATGCATGTCTTAGTCCTCCCACCTAATGAGTCACGTAGCAAGCGTGTCAACTTACTATCCCTGAAAATTCATGGATAAAATTTATCAAACATTGGATAACAAAATGCTTTTCAGAGTGTGGAGAGCAACCAAATCAGTCTAAAACAAAGACTAAAGAAAACCTGTATGGAATATGACCAAGATGCTCTACAAGTGCTGTTATAACACGACCTAGTGTGAGTAAACTTTTATTTATCTCCCCAGCTTCTCTTGCACGACCCTTAAACAAGTGCACATGCACAAAAAAGTACAAGAGAAATTAGACCAATGAACTAAAAAAAAACAAAGCACAAGACATTGCAGTGTTAATCAAAGAAACTAATACCAAGTAGGATAAAGAACAAATTTTGATAAACAGTCATACCTCTCTAGCGCCTGATCGAGAAATGTTTTCAGAACCCGCAAGATCCACAAGATTTAGCTTCCCACATTTAATAAGCTCTTCACCTTCTGGAGTTGCCTCTTTAATGTGAATGGTAATTGAAAAGAGGGAATGTGATCGACTGAAATAGGCATAATGTTTTGAATAAGTAACAAATGAAATCAAAACAATTAAAAAAAAAACAAGTAAAAGCACTAACCTGGATTGTTTGTTCAGTAATGTCTCAGCAGTTCGACGTTTTGAAGACCCTCTCTCTAAAAGAGAAAATATTTCATCAGCACTTGTTACTATTTCTTCCTCTAGGCCTCTTACTAAAACTCCTCCTTTTCCATCTTCCATGAGCGGTAATTGCTTTTTCTGCTTGTCCTCCAAAGCAATTTTAGATAACTCTTCTGGAGCCAGCAAATCAGTGATTTCTTCATTATACAACTCGAGAAAGGTAACTTTCACACTGTATTCAGTGTGCTGACACTCTAATGCATCGAAAATCTGTTTGACAGCTCTAGGAATGACACCTGCATTTAAAGGTAACTGACCTTTCGGTCCATTCTGCAATAAAAATGTCAGCAATAATTAGAAGAAGCATTTGGAAGGTCAGCAAACATGTCAGTCAGACTAAGTTGAACTTCATTCAGCGAGTGAATCACCTTAGCTCTTCTGCACTCTCCTTCCATAGTATATGTCTTCCCAGTGCCTGTTTGACCATATGCAAAAATTGTACAATTAAAACCCTCCAAGACCTCATTTACAATTGGAGTAATGGCTTGTTCATACAAGTCCTTTTGTTTAGCAGAAGGACCAAAGACCTGCATAGGAAAAGAAAAGCAAGTGTAAAGAAAGAAAGAAACAAAGCAAGTACATTGCTAATATGCACTTCCAACTCTCTATGAAAGGCAATACATATCCCGAGAGGAATAAAACATGAAAAACCAATTTGTTTCACTATTGTAAGCGTCCAAAAATGATTGATCTCACTTCAAAAGTGAGTTCAAGCATCAATTTGGTTACAACTGGATGGTCCAAGTTCTCAGTCTTGAAACTCACTTTTAACAAGATAAATGTGAGTTTCGATTTTGAGAGCTAGGAAGTCAACAACAATATTACTTTTTTTTTACTTTTAATAATAATAGAATGATGCTAAATTGTTATGATGATGATTTAGAATATAAATTTTACTAATAAAGACAATGAATTAATGAGAAATTGTATGATTAATCAACTGACAGATATCAAACTCTAATAGTGGAGAAGCTAGGTTAGATAAGATCATTTAATGTCGTTTGAATTCTAAAACATGATAATATCTATGATCAATAACACATACAAAGCCATAAAAGTGCAAGAAACTAGGCTTACATGAGATGATATAACTCAAGTGAGAAATGGTTGATTGATTACAAGCTAGTAGAAAAATCAAATTAATGGAAATTGAAATCAGAACTAGTCATTCGAATAAAATATATGAAATCCAAAATTTTGTTAACACACATGACAATAGAAGAATATAATAATTGGTAAGATTTTCTCCATTGTTATATGAAGACAATGAAGTTAAACCACAAAATTTCCTCCCAACAACGTAAGGGTAAGGCTACGTACATATAGCAATCCTCCCTAAACCTCAAATTGATAGGGTGCTTTAGGTATTGGGAATATGAAAACATGACAATAAGCTCACTGACATGCACGAGCATTTTATTTTAAATTTCCTGCATAACCCTATAACCGAAAAAGTCGGTTTTTCACAAAACTTCTTTTCCGTTGGGAACTTACACGTAAGAGACTTATCACACCTGCAGAACAGTACCTATAAAAACCAAAAAAAAAAACATTGCCAAGCCTTTTTTAAGTTCCTAAACGGGATTTTACATTGAATTTCCATGTTTAGCAAGCTTGAAGCACTTCGTAATATTAGAAGTACAGTGTCCCGCATTCATATAAATTTCATAAATAACCTTTTTCTTTTATCTTTAACTGGCGAAATACAAAGAAATACCCTAAGAAATAAAACAGAAAACCAACCTTATCAAACGTGAACACCCTGTCAAACTGCTTCCCAGCGATTGCCTGAGAAACAGCCACCTCCTTTTGGAATTCGTTGCAGGTAACAACTTGCGGGGCATTATTCCGAAGCTCATCCTCGCTGAAAGGTCTGGAAACGGAACAATCGAGCCAAGATCTTACATAAATATGATGATAATCTCCCAAAGACCCACAACCAATCCAACTCAAAACCCTAACCCTAAAGATTGTCACAATGCAACCTATTTACCTGCAACGCAGGAGGACCTGGACGTTCACAGCCTTCTCCTTCTCGGAGCGCGACGAAGCCAGCATTCTTGTAGAAAATCGGCGCTGCTGGAGCAGAGACTTCGGAGTTGCTCGCGCGGCGGGCTGGCTTGATAAGAGAAAGAGAACAGTAGGGCAAAGTCGAACTCTCACTCAGACGAAGAGCGGGATCTGGAAATCAGTTCAAATTTTCAGGGACATTTAAGTTTCTAGTCGTTTTAGAGCTAATAATAGCCGTAGGATCAAGCGATTTTCTTTAGTCGATTTTAGATCTCATTTGATCAAAGTTTTTTTAGTTAAAAAAAAAGTTTTATAAATATATATTTCTATAATTTTTATTGCTTGATATTAATTAATTACAATATTAATGAGCAAGAAATATACTATGTATAAATAAATTATTTGTATTACATTATATTATATTATTGATAATGTTTTAGAAGACTAAGACAATATATGGTTCACCTATGTCAACAAAATGATGCATGTAAGAACCTTTGATCAAATTCAATGATGTTGCCTCCATGAAATGAAGCTAAATCATCGTGACTAATATTAATGAGAACTTGTGCGATGAAAAAATTAGATGTCATAATCAAAATAATGAGTTATTATTGCATGCATATGATTTAAGATTACATCGGTCATGCCAGAAAATTTTACAAATGTCAAATATTTTGTGACGTCATACATAAACCAACATATCAGCTAGAATACTACCGTTGTAAGTCTAATATACTTGTGAGGCCATTACTTCATTATGTCAGCAATATACTACTTTTTCAAATTGACAGAAGTTGTCTTTTTTAAGGAATTCAACGTATAATACGGTGGCTTCTTATTTAGTGTATCCCACCAAATCCTATCAAATAAATGGCCAGCCTTCAAAAGCAATAAGCTTGATAAACTCTTCTAGATCAATTGGTGATTCTCAATAGTCTATAATTCAAGAACAAATGGATTTGCAAAACCTTTAAATAAAGTCAAACTATTGAAGAAAACACACCAAAAAAATAAACATGAATGACACCTTAAGATTATTGCAGCATTGTGGGTTAAGCATACTACATCCAAAATGCCAGCACAAGCAACTTCATACTCCATTGCAATAATGCAATAAAGTATATATATATATATATATGCATGAAATATGTGCATGTAAGAAAGGATGGGTGCAGAAGATGATTGATTAAAGTTGGCAGAGATATGATATGATACTCTATTCAAAAGGTTGAGCCAACAGGATTTTTTTTAAATGATCACGATACATTGTAACTATCCAAAATTCTTAAATGAATTTATTTGAAAATATAGAATTTATAAATAGTGGAGATGAGGCACTGTGATTGTGAGCGTAGCGGCTCTAAGGGAAGTAGCTTTGGGGCATATGCTGTGTGTTCTATAGTAACTTTGGAATAAGCATGCAACGATGTAGTGCAAGGTTGGAGCACCACAATGCTAGACATTAAAAAATATTTTTGAATATTAATTTATCTCTGCTCATCTATTTTCCTCTCTCTCTCTCTCTCTCTCTCTCTCTCTCTCTCTCTCTCTCTCTCTCTCTCTCTCTCTCGTTTGGCTTATCGGGAAAGGAAGGGAAGGAGGTCGAGAGGAAAAGGCGAGAAAAAGGAGAGAGAAAGGAAAGAAAATATTTACAGGGTCTTTCTGTCTGACTCTCCTATTACAAAAATTATTTTATTCATTATATGTGACTTTTATCCTATCTCTCTTTCCAAAGATTTTTATTCTGGGATTTATTCTTCTGTCTAAATCGATGTTTATTATATTTTCTTCTATTTTAATAAATTTTTAATGCATATCTTTTGATATATTGTAATTTTTATTATTTTGGTCATGTTGAATAGATGGTTTCGTATTTTTATCGGTTAAATTGTTATTCATTTCAATTTATATGATTTGAGTAAGAATGTGGATTTTGGCATTTTTATATGATCCTTTTGGTAAGATAAGCATTGTGAATGATTACAAGTACGTGAATGTATAAATTCATAATCATATGAATGAATATTGTTATGACTAAATGATTTCATGGATATAATTTTATTTTTGTGCTTTGAGTTCATGTGTAGATTGTAGTGACCTGCTGGACTTTGTAAGATCATTATATATAATTAATTAATTTCAAGTCAGGGAAGAGGTTTAGGCTTAGGTGTGTGATGTTGATCATCTCCAAAATTTCTCAAGTTATTGTTGTTTTGTTTTTAGTGATTCTTTTATAATTAGAAGTATATAGAGTGATCGTTGTGTTAGGCTGAGGTTCTTGTTATTGTATATTGAATTTTGATCAATGTTGTATAGAAATGTTTGGAGATAAATATAATTTCTTTGGTTGTTGTTTCTTTCAATTCAAACTAATAGCACATGATTTAATTAAGAAAATGAAAAAGATATAATTCTTCTAATTTTGATCTTGGAGCATGACATACATGATATGCTAGGAGGTATAAGGGGATAATGATATGACTAAGTGGAGTGAAAACTCCTATATAAAGTCACATGACTATAATTAAGACAAATATGATATGATATAATTAATATTATATGGTAGGTGATATTGTGCAGTCGTATGATTGATATAATATGATTAGCTAGAATTAAAATATTATTTATTTCTATTTATATGATTTGAGTAAGAATGTGGATTTTGGCATTTTGATATGATCCTTTTGGTAAGATAAGCATTGTGAATGATTACAAGTACGTGAATGTATAAATGCTAATTTTTGTTATTTATTTATGTTGATAACATGTGTAACAAGGAAAGAAAAATATGATTGGTTGGAGAAGATTTTCATGTACAGGAGGGTGAGGATGTGAGGATGATATTGATATGATTATGATTACAAGTTCTTGTTATTGAATGATTCATGACACAAAATGTGTAAACCCTATACGATGTCTTATAATATTTTTGTATGATTGAGGCATTGACTTCACATCTGTATGATTTAGATTTCAAATATTTTGTACATCTACATTAGTTTTACTAATTTATTTGATTAGTACTAAATTGGGCACTATGGAGAAAAATGATTCATGTAGCCGATCCCACATAGTGGGATAAAAGGCTTGTTGTTGTTGTTGTTGTTGTTGCTGTTGTACTAAACTGGCTTTAGTTTATGGATGATTAATTTTGATTTACACCACTTTATGGATGTAGCATACATACCATACTATTTATATAAAGATTAACTACTAGACTTTTTCAATTTTTAGCATATGTTTTACTACTTTTGCACCAATTCATAATCATATGAATGAATATTGTTATGACTAAGTGATCTCATGGATATAATTTTATTTCTGTGCTTTGAGTTCATTTGTAGATTGTAGTGACCTACTGGACTTTGTAAGATCATTATATATAATTAATTAATTTCAAGTTAGGGAAGAGGTTTAGGCTTAGGTGTGTGATGTTGATCATCTCCAAAATTTCTGAAGTTATTGTTGTTTTGTTTTTAGTGATTCTCTTATAATTAGAATTATATAGATAGATCGTTGTGTTAGGCTGAGGTTCTTGTTATTGTATATTGAATTTTGATCAATGTTGTATAGAAATGTTTGGAGATAAATATAATTTCTTTGGTTACTGTTTCTTTCAATTCAAACTAGTAGTGCATGATTTAATTAAGAAAATAAAAAAGATATAATTCTTCTATTTTTGATCTTGGAGCATGACATACATGATATGCTAGGAGGTATAAGGAGGTAATGATATGACTAAGTGGAGTGACAACTCCTATATAAAGTCACATGACTATAATTAAGACATATACGATATGTATAATTAATATTATATGATAGGTGATATTGTGCAGTCGTATGATTGATATAATATGATTAGCTAGAATATTCACTTGTTATTAATACATATAAATTAATGATGTATATACATGATATTATTTTTTTATGATACAAACCAATATAATGATATAAAGAACACACCTTATCATCATTCATGATTCATGTAACTTGTTATGCCATGCATATGATTGATGAATATATATATGATGATTTCATACAATACTTAGTGTCATAATCCAACTCAATAGGATTTCTATCATGTTGATCTATGACACGCAAATTCTAAGATCTAGTTTTGGAAATGCTTTAGGTTTCTTCTTTCAATTTAAAGTTTAAAATAAACTACAGACTAGATAGCTGCTATAAACATCTATAGTACTTTAAAGAAACTTAACCATAAGATTTCATTTCATCAAAATATATCTACAAGATTTACACTATAGTATTTGGCTGCTAAATAGGAAGCAGAGTAAAACATAACAAAAGCTAGCTATAATAGTATAAAATCAAAATAGAGAAATATCTATAAACTTAGATCAAATCCTCAAATTATTAACCAACCGGCTCCTTCCCTTTCCCACACTTTAAAAACTAGAAGGACAATTATAGTGAGATCAAATAGCTTAGTAGGACATAAACACCAATAAAAAACTTATATTATTTCTTTTAGTAAACATCTTAGAATATTTAAAAGTAGTTAAATACAGTATAATAACCACTATGTCGAGCAAAGTAAGAGCTTAATAACTATCCAAAGATTTTATTAATAAGAGTACTGGTGTCACAACCCAACCCGACAAGGACGGATCCTATAATGTTGAGCTGTGACGGGCAAAAACCAGGATCTAGTTTTGGAATTTGCTTTTCAGACTTTCTTCCCATATTATTTCACAATACAAAACCCCAGAGCTACTAAAAACTTTCAAATACAGAAAACTCATCCACAAAATATTTCTTTCATTTATCAAAATAATCACATATATTACAGTGCATGGCTACTAACAAAAAGTACATAATAGAAAAGTAAACTAACAATGACTGTACAAAAATCAAAAGTACAAAAATACCTATGACTTCAAATCAGATCTTGAACGGCTAGTCCAAAAACTTTCTTCCCTTTCCCAGAACCTGAAAACTATGAAGATAACCACAATGAGCTAACAGCTAAGCAAGATCACCCTAGCCGATCTAAATTCCCAGACACTCTTAATTCAAAATACTTTACTAAAGATTTAAAAACAGTTATTTGCATATCAATTAAATCACTGAACTGAAACTAATGAAACAGAAATACAAAGTAATTCATTCACTAATTCAGATAGCCATACATA